TCTATCTATCTATCTATCTATCTATCTATCTATCTATCTATCTATCTATCTATCTGTCTGTACGTCTATATATCTATCTTTCTCGTCCATCTTACACCTTCAGTATAATAATATTGGAAAAGTCACATCTCGAATACCTGCCCCCCCCCTCCCCTTTCTTTCCCCCCTCCATCTTTGATTTCTCAAATGTAGTGTATTCAGAAAGTCTTCAGCCCTAAGTCCCCACAAAGTCTATCATAATCAAGTTTTCAGTACTAAATATTGGCAATCTGTGTGCTATACAATGTCCTGTAATGTGTTCTAATGTGGGATGTGTGGTGTGGGGTGTGGCTAACAGCTAATGGAATGACCTTGAATGTCAATGTTACAGTCTTGTCTCTAACAACATCGGTACTAACAGCGAGAAACCTTTTAATGTGTGTCAAAATGTCACTTACGACCAATGTACTAACAGCAAGAAACCTTTTAATGTGTATCAAAATGTCACTTACGACCAATGTACTAACAGGGAGTGACCTTGAATGTCAATGTCAACGAACGTCACTGTTTTGTCACCAACGGCCTATGTACTCACGGGGAGTGACCTTTTATGTCAATGTCAACGAATGTCACTGTTTTGTCATTAACGGCCTAGGTACTAACAGCCTGCTCGTTGTCTCTGTGAAAATCTCGTGCTTTTTTTTTCTTGGAACGAAACTATTTTATGACCTCTGACCTGTTTTCTTGTTGTTGTTGTGTTTTTACAAAATTACAATAACAGCAACAACAACTACAACAACCAACAACAACAACACCAGAAGCCTCATTGCCACCACAAACAACAACAAAAACAACAACAACAACGACAACAACAAAAATAAGAATATTAATTAAGTGCTGCAAAAACAACATCAACAACTACAACAACAATAACAAAAGCAACAACAACAACAACAACAAAAACAGCAGTAACAACAACAACAAACAACAGTAAACGGCAACAGTAACAACAACAGCAACAACAAACAATAGTAGACGAAAATAGTAATAACAATAACGACAATAAGAACAATAACGTATATAACAACAATAACAACAGCCAGAAAAAAGTATAGGCGCAGTATCAGTACAAAGTAGATTTTGTGTGCCCGCTGGCTGTGTGTTTGCTTGTTTGGCATTGGGTACTTACTACTAATAATACAATTGCCACACCGGTTTGGGTGTTTGTTTGTTTGTTTGCCTGTTTGTTTGTTTATTTGTTTTTTTCAATGTGTATTTTGAATTTGTCTTCAGATTTTTAATGTTAGAGCAACATTTGGTTATGGTATGGTTCTGGAAACGACAGTGGCTGAATTGAACATTGCTTTTGGAACACTGGAACACTGTCCCCGTGTGTGTGTGTGTGTGTG